GGACAACCTTCCTCTTCAAAGAGCCACAGAACCAAACAGATCTGCCTGCTCACACATGTCCCCAGCATCACCTGAGGGCTCCCCACTAACAAATGCCCGCTGGGGCCTCTCCCAGTGGCGTGAACCAAGGGAGCAGCTGGAACTGTCCCCATTTTACAGGTGAGGAGACAAGCTCGGGGAGGTTAAGAGGCCACCGGTATCTGAGGGGAAGCCAGGGCCTCCCATCTGCTCATGGACTCTGGGTCCACCTGGGCTGGTTGCCCTCCCTGCTCCAGGCTTGACCCTGGTCTTGGCCTTCACTTTAGGTGACACCGGGCAGAGCCCAAAGCGCCCCTCGGAGGCGGCTCTCCTGAGCACAGTCCAGGTTCGCAGCTCGCAGGCTCCCCCTGCTGGCCTGAAGCCACCTGGGTGCCCAAGCGCTCAGCCCTCACTCCCTCCCACCACACGCTCCCCAGATGGAGCAGCCCCCACTGACCCCCAGAGGAGGAAGCAACAAACAGCAAAGGCCACAGACGAGGGACTCAAAAAGCATGAGAAGGTGGAAGGGCATTAGAGGAAGTGGTGGGAGGGGAAAGGTTTGGCTCCTGGAGCCTTCTGGAGAATGGCTGCAACGGGCCAGTATTAAAGGGACAGGTGAGTCCCCTGCGCATGCCCTTTTCCCCACCAAAGTCACTAGGTCCATCCAAGCCTCTGTTCCTCAAGGCTTCAAGTGCACAGAAAGGGCCCGGTTCACAGTCCGGCTCAATATCATGGTGGGATTATTATAAAGGCTCGTAGCACCCCAAATCCACTTCAGTCACAGCTCAAACCAGAACCATACCTCCTGGCGGCCATGTCCCACCCCTTCCACAGACACCTACGACATGCTAGTCCTGCATTTGGTGCTGTGACTACAACACCCAACAAGGCAGACGTGGGTCTGGCCCTGGAGAACCTATACTCCCGGCGGGGAGACGGAGGCTGACCAGGCTTCACACCAGCGCGCAAGCGAGCGAGGGAGCAGTCCCGAGTCCGAGAAGTACTCAGGAAGGGTGGTCGGGGGCTGGGGGACAAGGTAACCGGGACCCCAGCCCAGGGGGGTTAAGTGAGACTCAGAGGAGGAGCAGAAGGCAGCCAGGGCAGGGAAGGGCGTTGTCAGCTAGGACAGCACGTCCGAGGCCCTGGGAGAGTGAAATCCAGGGGCGGGCGGCTGGGGGCGGGGGATAAGCACAGGGAGAATGACGTAAGAGGAGGCAGCGCCAACCAAGGGGCCCCAAGGCCTGTTAAGAATTGACTTCATCCCAGGGGCGCCGTGATCAGACCGAAAATGCTTCCACCAAATACAAATTCAGACCCCACACACGAGTGCCATTTTCATTCTTTCAAAGAAGCCGAGGGTATTCGTACCATGGATGGTACCCATGTGGATGGTCCCGTGTTATTAGCATCCCTCAAGGCTCACAGTCCATTTCCCTGCCCCCCGTCTCAAGGGGCTACCCTCCCCACTGGACACATGACCCCACGGACCATCTGAGGGACAGGCCAAGGGCTCCCGTAAGTGCTCCTTTCTTTGTGTGTTGGGGGTGGGATGGCAGTAGGAGTAGCATTCTGGTATTCAGAAGGATGTATAAAATGGGGGTACGGAAAGCTCCCTTGTGTGCTAAATGAGAAGCAAACAGACTTAGTTGGGTACATAGCAAAACATACGGCCGGTGGCAGACAGTACCCACCAAGCAAAGAACGGGCTGTGGAAAGGCCAGCTCCATCCAGATCTGCCACTCCCTGGCCCTGTGAATGCAGACGATATCAGCTAATAAATGTTTATTGAGCCCCCACCAAGCCTAGTGGTGGGAAGCAAGGTACAGTCCAGAGGCCCAACCCAGCAGAGGGGAGGCCCAGACAGCTTCCTGGAGGAGGTACCCCCAGTTTCTCTGGTCTGCCCTGGGAGCTGCAAATTGCTAGAGAAAATACCACCACCAAGCAGAAGGCTCCCTCTAAATTCTTGCTCCCCGCACCGGGTGGCCCATCTTCCAGCCTACCCTAGCTGCTGCTTTACAAGTGAGTACCCCTCCCCCCTCTCCCCTCTCCCAAGCCTCCCCCACTCTTCCTCCAGCCATGGATGCTGCCTCCTCCCCGCACCAAACCAGGACCCCCCACACACCTGCCCGCACCTTGTCCTCCCTCCCTCAGGTCACTGAGCATGAAGGTAGGTCCCTCCTCCCAGCCAAGGCCGCCCTCCAGAGAACTAGCTCCTGCAGCTCCGCCTCCACGGGCCTGGCCGGTCTGCCCTCCAACACCCTAGTGTCCTTGTCTTTTAAATCAAAATCCTCCCTCGACCCGCATTCCACACCCCACAGCTGTGGACTCACTTCCCTGTCCCCTTCCTCCACTGTCTACACTTCCTCCCTCCCATGTTCCCCCAGATTGTGCTGTGTGGCCCCACCTCTCTATCAAGGCCAAGGTCAGAGACACCACACCGGCCATGTGGCCCCATGCAGTGGCCCTTCCCATCAGTCCTCCCTTGTGTACTCAGGACCCCCAGCCTCTTCATCCCCCTCAGGACCGCCCTCTCTTGACCACCCAGCTCGCTGACCCTCCCCCTCAGACGCCTCACCACTCCCCTTTCTCAGTCCACACCTCTCCCTGGTCTTCACAGCACTTCTGTGCCTTCAAAACCCACTTTATGCCCACGATCTCATCCCAAGGCTGCACCTCTGGCTCCTCATCACTCTTCTGAGCTGTTAGATTCATCCTCACAGTACCTGAGAAACCAGCCTTCTGCTAGCCCCTGGTGGGGGGGCGGACGGGGGGCCAAGCCTCCATCGTCACTCCCTAGGCCTCTCCGAAGCCCCCAACTCCCAGCTGACTCCCTGTATGCACCTGATCGTCTGTTCCTCACACAGCAGCCCAGGGAGCTTAGGAATATAAGTCAAGAGCTGTCCCTCTGATTAAAGTCCATTTCAAACTCCAAGTCCTTACCACGGCAGAAATGGGAGGCAGGCCTCTCTCCCTAACCTCCTCCTGGGCTGTGTTTCACTCTGCCCCCTACACCTCAGCCTGGAAGATCACCTTTCAGTTCCTCCAATTGCCAGGCTGCTCCCTGCCTCAGGGCCTTTGAACCTGCTGTGCCCTCTACCTGGCCTACCTTCACAGGCCCCTCCTCACTGGCCTCCCCCTCCCAGAGCAGCCCCCTCCCCTCCTGTCTGTGCTTTAGTCCTTACTTGACCTAGGCCACGCGGAGGTACTCTGGATCCCCACCACCTGGCACAGTGCGTGGCATGTGTGAGCATCGTGGGACGAATCAGTGAGCAAACGAGCTGAGGCCTGGAGGTTGAGGGCGAGTTTTGTAAGAGGAAAGAGTCTTCCAAGTGGAGGGAAGAGCATGCGCGAAAGCCCTGAGGTAAGAGAGAGCATTTGGTGGAGAAATGAAGAGAAATCTAGAACAGCTGGACCGGAGAAGAGAAGCCGTGCTGTGACGGAAGCCCCTCATCTCCCATCCAGCGAAGACACCGGATGGCATGTGCTGGCCCAGGTCCAGGCCACTACTGTGGTCTTTATTCCTCTCCTGCTCCTTGGTCCCACTAGGTTGGGCTCATGACCTCTCACCGTCATGTTCATGGGCAAGTCACCCAGCCTCTCTGAGCCTCCGTTTTCTCGTCACTAGGACAGGGCCACGGCAGGCCCCCTTGGAGCCCAGGCTTGCTGTGAATGAGAAGGGGGCTGCACAAATATTCTGTCGGCTATAAAATGCGATGTGCATATCAGATACACACACTCCCTCCTGAGTGAAATAAGACTCAAAGAGAGCAAAACAAAATGAGACAAAATTTGGGTGGGAAAAAGTTTTTTTTTCCCAACCTGGGGCATAGCAAGCGGAGGAACTTTTAAATTATTTGATGCCCATATTTGTCATCTTGCACAACTGTGACCACAGGTATCCCCCTCCCCAAGTGTAAGTACTCCCGGCCAGCGGCATCTGGGGCCGGACAGTGAATGCATGTGCTGTGACGCTGGAGACACTGGTCCAGCTGAGACCCAGACTGACCCATGGGACTCCCAAGACCTGAGTCCCTCTGGCTGGGCCAGGTCCCTGGCACTCCGTGGAACTGGTCTGGGGTGCCCGGAGGTGGCTCAGATCCCATAGCAGACACCATCTGGAAGATGCCACCACCTGGCTTTACAGAAGCAGAGAAACCTTACCTGGCCACACACATGCTGGGGAAGGACGCAGCCCAAGGCTCTCTCTTGCACTGTCCACCCCACTATCTGTGGCCTGGTCCGAGTGACCCACAGCCCGCACGGCCCCTCTCTCTAGCAAAGTCCAAATGATAGCTCCACTTCCTGGAGATGACAAAGGAAGACAACCAGAGCTCCCAGCTCTGCCACCAGCCGGCTGGGCACTGACCTTGGGGACATCTGTCAGCCGGTCCTTTCTAGTCTACGGTTCCTAAGCATACACCTCTCAAGGCCAGCAAGCAGGGCGCCACG